TTTTAAGTTTTAATTTTAGTTAAAGTTAAAGTTAAACGTTAAAAAACTTTTAAAACTTTTAATTTACTTCGTACATAGAAGAAAGTAAAAATTTAAAGTTATATATAGTATATATATATATATATATATATATATATACACACACACACACACAAATCTAGTTGCAGTCACCAAGATACAATTTTTGTTGTAATGTTTCACAAATTATTATAAACATTAAACATTTACAGATACTCAGTCTTATTCTCAAAACTGTGCTTTATGAAACATTTTAATATATACTAATGGGAAAATATTATGTATGTTAAGTGACCATAATCTGGCAATCAGTCTTCCAATGGATATCTGTCACCAACACACAGTATAAGAGAACTTATCCTTGATGTTGATTGTTACTAGACAGTATACAAGTTCCACATAATTGTGCACGGTTGGAATAATGCTGGAATAAATCTTCAGTATGAAGCAACTTAGTTCATTATAATATTTTTGGGCTTCCCAAAAATAAAATTCAAGGTTTTCATGAGCCCGAAAACTAAAATTCTTTTCATGTACATGCACACAAATCTGTCAGACTAAATATCAATTACATTGTATTGAGTGGCACACAAAACATTCGGGACTCTAATTCTCGAAATACAAAGTACCGAAACACAAATATAAAAAGCTTTATGTGGCTTACATAAATATCATAATGCACAAACACTCAAAATGTATTGGATCAGTTTCCAATCCACAATTTCAAGATATGACCAAAGTTTTAATGTCAATACACCATCACAAAGCTTGTCACTGTTGGTGCAGAAGTAAAATTAACTGATTGATACTCAAGTATGGGATGAGGTTAAACACTACATGTCAAGATAGTAAATGTGCCAATAAGTCATGTTATGAACTGAAATATGTTTAATATTTTACTTCTGACCAGCCCAATAGTCTCAACCTACAAATTTGTACATATGCAAATTAAATCTCTCATTGATTAATTATTTAAATAACACTTCAAATACTACTTTTCTTATGCTTTATGTTTCTGTTGACAATGTAGTTTGCTTACTTCCAGCATTCCTTATGAGAGGTAAGCTTTAATACCAGTCTTATCATATGGTGTAGAAGGCTAGCTCTGGCAAAAGTATTTTCTATAATTAGGGTAGTGAGTTTGGTGAAACACTAGCAAATGATATGAAGATGAAAATAAAATTTAAACTTTTATTTTTATCGTTGCACTGTATTAGACCAGTTAAGAATAAAGTTCTCATAAAATATATTCTCTAAATGAGTTAAAGGTGTTATGACACAGTTGGCCAAATTAGGTCTGAAAATAAACAAACGATCTAACTAGAAGCAACTTCAATGTACATGTTATTAAAATGCAATTCAATATTTCTTACCAAAAAATAATAATAAAATGACCTTTTAGTGTACAATGTGCTTGGTCTTCTCAAGCAGGCAAAACAAAACAATAACCAACAATTTTTCAAAAGGGAATTAATTAATTATATTTTCCCCTTTTTTTTTGTAAGCCTAACTTAAAAAGCAATTTGTAAAACCAAAAACATGTTGGACAAGCAATTAATTTCTGCTGAAAAGTAACAAAATGCAAGTGTATAATAACATTTAACTAAGATAAGAAACATTTCCCACATGAAAATCAGAAACAAATTTTTCATTCTAATTATATGATTTGATAGGTCAGGATATTCTTACAAGAATATCCATTTTCTAGAACAAGTAGGAAATTTGTGCCATAATAATTAATCACAAACTCACACCCTAAAATTTCTCTCACCTACAAGTGGAAGCTGCTTTTAAGAAAGCCTAATTCTACAAAAGTAGTGTTTAGAATTTCCCTCAGTTGTTGAATAAACAGTAAGAACACTTATAATAACCACAAGTAGAGAAAAAAAAATAATCACAAAACAATTCTTTGAGGTGTCCTATGATGCTTCTTTCAGGAAACAAACCATTTCATGTAGTTATAAAAAGGGGTTAAATTGAAAATATAATTCTAACAAGCCAATATGGAAAGTCAAGGAAATGTTGTACAGCAAAATAATAGATATATTTTAAAATGTACCCGTGACAACTAAGGCATTGCTTTGGTCTTATATTTGTTTATTATGTATGGATGTTTCATATCCAAGGAAGAAATAGTTAATCTATGCTTTAAGACATGATAAAAATATCACAACATTACTGTACTGAAGTTTCAAACTTTTTGGGGAAGCTAACAACAAAACAAGGTCTCATCCCATGAATCTAAATTGCATCAAGTACTTAGTTATTCATAAACTACACGTACCCAACATAACTAAGTAATGTCAATTTGAACTATTATACTCAGAACAAAACTAATACAACTAAATACATATATATAAATAAAGTAATGTCAATATGAACTATATACTCAGAAGAATAGTAAAACAAATGCATATACAAGTAACATCAGTATTAACATGCATGAAAAATCAAAGGAATGATAATGTTTAGTATTTCTCGACAATGTTGTACATGAAGTATTCAGTCAAAAGGAAAGGTTATATGTATAGTTTACTAGTCAAGTGACTTTGTTAGTAGCATTGCACAACAAGAAAGGTTTATGTGTAGTCTTGAAAGATCATAGCTTATGGATTCATACTGTAACAAGAAAAGTTATAGTTAAGTTTTACCTACAGAAAAATTATATTTAGATTTTCAGTTAAATATTGTAGTCCAAGGAAAAGTAAGATGTTAAAAACTGTAGAAGAAGGGTTATACACAGGCTTACAGTGAAAGGAAAGATTAAATGTTAAGTTTGTTTGTTTTTCAGCACAAAACTACACAATGGGCCATCTGTTCTGTGTCCACCATGAATATTAAAACCCGGTTTTTAGCATTATAAGCCTTTAGACTTACCACTGGAGTTAAGGCTTTCAGTGTCAAGTTTCAGGCAAAAAACATTCTGGAATAGATGTTACATAAATATTTATAATGAAAGAAAAAGGTCATGCGTTTTTCTAATGAGGCAGGGGCATTTTGATTTTATGTTTAAAAAGTCACAAAGAACTAGTCACAACAAAAATTCAGTATTACAAAATTTAAGAAATATTCTAAATTTTCAGCCAGACAAAAGGTTTTGAAAAGCAGAGTTACAGTCAGAGAGAATGGTTACATGTATTTTTGCAATCAGAAAAAATATTACATATAAGTCGTCAGAAAGGTTCTACCAAGTTGTGAACAAAGAAAGATGCTGACAGTAGAGTACTTCAAGGTAATATTGTACATCAAGCAAAAGAACACATTGTCATTAGTCATATTGCTAAAAGGAAAAGTTATATTTAATCTTGCATAAAAAAAAAAAATGTTTTAGCCTTGAGATCACATAAAAAGAGCTTGTATTCTTGCAAGAAGGATATGAACCAGGTTTTCAACTACAGGAAAAATGATAGATTCTAGTCACAGTAAACTGAAATTCTTTAAAATCTTACTTAGAACTGATAATAACTTATCTTTGAAACTTCAGATTTTGTATACCACACTAAATATATAATGTATATTAACCAATAAAGTTGGTAACACACAAACAATTAAGTAGGCAATAATGAACTGTTTAAGTTTAAACACTAACTTTCTGACATCGGTAAAATTTCACCTCTGACAAAAAAGTGGCTTCCTGCAAAACATTCAGTAATAAGATGTTAAACATCATTATATAAACATCAAGCACATTAAGATGTTAACTTCTATTTGAAAATGAACATAACCAATCAATGTGTTCAAAGGAAAACGAAGTTTGATTATAAACAAGATTACGACACTTATGATATACAACATTGTTTATTGACAAA